AAAAAAAAAAAAAATTACTAACACTTATCTAAACATGTTTAAACTTTACTAAATACAAAGGTTAATCGGTTAATGTTTCCTATGGTAGTGAAATATGGCAGTGCTTCGGTCAGGTTCGTTTCATTTCCATTAGATTAACTACATTTTTAGTAGACATTTCCTTTTTTATTTATTTTGTTCAAGAACTACCATGAATCGATAACTAGTGACGTTTGGCACTCGGCGGCCTGTCGACGGCTCCCTTCCAGGAGGACTCTGTCTGGACCACGAACAGTCTGAAGCACCGCCATATTTTGCTACCATAGGTAACGTTAACCAGTTAATCTATTGTTGTACATGCACATGGTGAAAAAAGAATCTAACAAAGTGAAATTCTTAAATTTTTCACCAGTATTCGATAACTGTACAGTACGAACGTTACAATAAAATTTGGGAGTGCTTCAAATATGACGTTAAAATGGTTTTATGTTGTTACAAGTGGGCTTTTTTTTAACATTATCTAGTATAGTAAAATCGTAGGACCGATAAAAATTTGATATTATATTAGGGTTGTCGTTACATTTGATGACATTATAATCGGGTTAAACTGTATATTGTTTGCGCAAAATAAAAAAATAATTTCAGACGATACAATAGCCATGATTATTTTTTTCAAAAATGGGAACTTTTCGTTACACATTGACAAAAATTCAACCTGGGCCGACACGCAACAGAGAGAAATTTTGAAATTAGGTAAGTTAATTTCATCAAAGATGCATTGTGGTCAATCTCGTGGTTGTAGCCAGCAAAGTTTGAATGATCGCACCCAAAAGCAGTGATATCAAAGATGATTAAGAGAATGAGAACGAGACCTGCCTTGAGCATCAAAGTGATTCCGTCTTGACATAGTCTTGTCCCAAATACAGTTTTGCCATTTTACTTGTTTTTTTTCTTGTTCCATTTGAGTTATTCCTTCAACTTACCAACACCTCCAAATAGCAATATTGATTTTATAACCACCAGGTATATAAAATAAATAAGTACAAATAATACAAGCAATTATTTATTGTGACATCTTCACAATGCCAGATTGCAATTTTTAATCATATTTTTAATTTATTTAATTTAAAATATATGCTTTACACCTCAAAGTAGTGGCTTGCCCCTGTACATCATACTTTTCCTTTAACAACAAAGTCACGCCAGTCCATCTACCACTTTTCAGGGGAAATTTTTGATTTGAAACAAATTCTGGTTTGCATCGGAAGTTCTTATATAGTTAATCGGTGCCTCCTGAACCTAAGGTTTCTATATCTGGTCTTGACTTTCATCTATCTAACACTGTTCTCAAGATCAAGGAATGATAGATGAGAATGGGAATTTATAGGTCTATAATTTTTTCAAATTGCAGCTCAATAAAAAAAAATATTTACTGTATTTGTTATTTTCAATTAAATAAATGTAAAATTTGAGATTAGGAGTTTACAAATTTCCATAAATAACCTTCTAGACATGCAATACTGTAGCCTTATGTTTAAAATTAATCATTGTACCTTGCTTAGTAGCCTTATAGATATCAAGGTTTTGAAGATACTTGAAGTGTGTAGAAGCAGAAGTATGGTGGAACAGTCATGCATTATGAAAAAATATCCAGATGTTATACGCAAAAGCTGCAAGAGCCATAATTCTTCTAATTCAAATACCAAACACACTGGATTTTTTTTTAGTTAAATATAAAATTTATTTCAGTCAGTACAACTACTTTAGAACTATCCTATATGTATACTACATTATAATTGATGTACATTTTGAGACACAAAGACTTAAAAATAATTTAAAAATTTACATCTATAGATAAAATAGTCTATTAAGATGATTCTCTTCTATCATTAACAATTTTTCTAATATTTAATATTATATATTTAAGCATGATAAAAGAATGCTTTCAAAGGTTATTCTGAATCTCACTATCCCAACTTTCATCCAATCCTCACTTCCAGAACTTATTAATTTTGATATAACCTTAGCATTGGGTTTAAGATGCCTATATTTATTGTATCAAATATTTTCTGACTCTTCTAGTTGTTTGTAATTCAACAAAAATCATTTTCATTCCACTATTAAATTTAATGTGATATTTATATAACTCGTCAGAGACTGCATTTCTTAACTAAATACACTCAAACAAACCTTTACATATGCAGCCGTAATTTGATAAATTCAAACGTTTTTGACCATATTCAATGGCCTTTATCAAGAAAAACTGAAAAATCGAACTTCGAATTAAAAATTTGCATTACCGATACAAGCGTTATTTTTGGAACATTTTTAAAAAGATATTCTATCGTGTAAGCACCATCTCTACATATTGGCTATAAATAGTTAAAACAATACCAGTAAATACATTAAAACACAATAAAGTGTTAAAATAATGCCCGTAAATACATTAAAATACAATAAAGTGCACATAGAAACAAGATTTTCTAGATATTTATATTTTTTCTTTATTTGATTGAAATTAAATAATGCTCAACATAACATGAAAATAAAGAATAATTCAATTCATTAATCATCCAACGGCAGCCAAATTAATTTATTGAGTAATTGATCTATAAGCATTACATTCAATAACTCTGCACAATACAAAAATCTCCAGATGTACAGTACAGTAATTTAAGTATCATTTAAACTAATACACTGTAAAAATAGTGTATCAGTTTAAGTTCCATAACATGCTGTGTGCAGTACATATTGAATGTATAATGCTAACATTTATGGTTAACCATCTCATTTGGAGCTTGAATTGAGCCTTATTTTTACCATAAGTTAAATATACTTAACTGTTGCTTTTGCTTGTACATGGATAATCAGTTCAAAGTTTATGATGTTAAACTTCGAATTGATTATATTGTTTGTATGAAGTTACAGTATGTCAAAATATATGTCCCTTTATAATTACAAATAAAACAACATTCTTTGCTCTATATTTTGTGAGTTGGAATACAAAACTTATATTAAACCAAAAATGATTTATAAAAAGGATGACAAAAATAAACAAATCAAATAATTAAGAACTTTGTGAAAGTGAAAAAATATAAAATTTTAATAATTTAAAATTATAGCATAAATTTTTTTAATAATTGCATTAAATATTAAACTTATTCATTAGTATTTTTAAGAGTTATGTAATTAATAATAAAATAAGAAGATAACCTGCAAGTTCTCCTTATTTTGTTCAAATGTTCGTTCCTCATTATTAATTTTGATTGGTGCTGTATAGTTTTCCATTTTATATAATTGTTAAAATTCCATATTTACTGTATTTATAAAAATATTACATTATTATTAAAATTCTACAGAACATAAAACTTATAAATGGTAAATGAATATATCAAAAAATCATTCCAACTGCAGGTGGTAGTATAACAATTTTAATTAAAATAAAAATATAATTTATCGATTCATATCGTGATGTATAAGTAAATTATCGACCACAGAACACGTTGCCATCTTCTGTAAACATATGAACTAGCGACTACAGTGGCTTCTAGTGTGACTTAATGCAAATTATAAATTATTATATTTATTAATTAAATTAGCAAATGATACATTTATTTTATATATTATTACTTATTTATTTATTTATTTAGACGTACTGGGCTATATATTATTATTTATTATTTATTTTACAAAAAAAATTTATGTTTACAAAAAATTAAATTATATTAAAATTTAATATCATTTCAAAATCAAAATGTCATCTTATATTTTAAATTATTATTATTTCGACCAGTAAACTGTAAGAGAGACTTCCAATATCCATATTGAAAGTCTCTCTTACGGGCGGCAAATATAAAAGGCGGCATTTTGGTTGTGAATGTGACAAAATATTTATAAGTTAAATACTTAAGAGGCGGCAATTTGTCTTTTTGTCTGGGGCGACATAAATGCTTGAGCGGGCGCTGCAAGGTGGCAACCTACCGCTCTAGGGGATCCGGGATCGATTCCGAACGGGTCGAAAAATTCCTGGTGATTTTTTGACTAGTCCGGATATATCGGGCCCCGTTTCTCACCACCCCATTATGGATTCGGCCGCCCAATTGTGGGTCTGGTCGAACCTATAAATGGGCTTGCTAAAAAGGGCCATCTTGGTGCCCACAGGGCGGAAAGAATTTAAAAAAAAATCCACCCAGAAAGATTTCTGTTATTTGATCGAATTTTATCTCGGATCCCCAGCGCGGTATCACATCGATAGGTTAACATCATTTTAAATTTAGTTATAAATACTGACATTTAANCTGTAAGTAAAATCTTTCATCTATGTTTATATACAGGCAACTTTTAATTCATTCCAATTGTAAACAGGTTTTTAGACATAATTGGGTGAAAACTCACATGTATTAAACCTTTGGAAAGCATTTTTTAACATGAGATGTATGGTTTTAATTTTAAAATGTAAATATATGGGTAAAATTATTTTTAAAGAAGAAAAATTATGTAATTGTAATACTGTTCTTATAATATATTCTATTAACCAAAGAACCTGTAAACCTAAAAAAAATTAAACTGTTTTTTTTACAAACATGATTAAACCAAAGAGGAAGTTAATAGTCTGAAATGCATCTTTAATAATTAAATAAAAGTAATACAGTAAACATTGGTCTATTGTCTTCTACTTGAACTTTCTCTAAAAATGTGGTTTGATAAGATAGAACCTATAAAAAACTTAAAACATCAATTTTATAAAAATGGAAATTAAATAAAAAATGCTTTATCTGATTTCAGTTTATTTCCCTGTATTCTAAACCAAAATGTTGTAAATATCAACAAAGATTGAATCAGCAACTAATTTTCCTCTTATAATGTAAATGAAATAGCATTGTCCTGAAGTGCATCAAGGTTAAGCTGAAATTTATTAAAATTATTTAAAATTATCACTGCTACATTGTTATTAAAATATATATACTGTGTATAATTTATCTAGATAAATACGAAAAAATTAAAAAATTTAAAATACATACTGAATTTATCTTGATGTATGAAGATTGCAGCTTGAGTTTCTTCACTTATTTCCTGTGAATAAAATTTTATAAACTCTGAGAACTAAATTATTAATTGTTAAATCATACAGATAATATTAATTTATACTAATTTTAATTTTCTACATTCATATACTACTTAATTGCTCATTTTAGAAAAATCTTTGTTAGAAATCTACAAACTTTTTTTCTGTAGAAAAAAAACTATAAACTAATTTTAAAATGTGAATAAAATAGCACAACTTTTATAAATAATTTGATGTAAAGTCCAAAGCTTCAAAAAACAAAAATATTCATAAAAGTGCCTATTAAAATTGAAATACTGAATATATTCACAAATAACAACTAAGTACTGTATTTTTGAACTCGGGTCATTTTCAGAATATGTATATTTTAAAATTTTGAATTTTATAAAAGCAAACTTTTATATTTCAGTGTTCTAAACTCAAATGTTTTAAATATCAACAAATACAGTAATGGACCAATTATCTGGCTTCCAGAAATCCAGAATCACCAGAAAACTGCTAGTTTTGAATTATGCAGGCTGCAGTACAGTGTAGTTCACAATATGATTGCTTTGTTTTGGGTTTCGTGGTATATGTGTTTCATGATGCCATTTCCATTATGTTGTTTACTTCTCTTCAATTTTCATCCTAAATATTACACTATACATGGTATTCTATATTTTAGTAGGATTAATAATGATCATAAAGACTCTACTTTAGAAGTGTATTCTTTTGTACTGTTAAATACAATTTTGTTCTTTACATTCCATTATTTATTTTATATTTTATGTATGCATTTAATTCATGTCCAGAAAACCAAAAAATCCAGACTACTTCTGATTAAGCTTGTTAGATAATTACTCTGTACCATTTTTTGTTGTTAAGTTCCATCGAGTCGTCGTCGACTCCTGGTGACTTCATGGACAAGTCTTCTCCATCTTGATCTTTCCCTTGTTGTCTCTCGTAGCTCATCCAGCTTCATTTCTGTGACTTTTTCTATTTCTTCTATCCACCTTATCCGTTGCCTTCCCCTCTTCCTTCTACCTTCCACTTTTCCCAGCATAATAGTCTTCTCTAGGGAAACTTCTTTACGCATCACATGTCCAAAGTAGGTCAATTTTTGTTTTAAGATTCTTGACTCTAAGGAGAAGCTTGGCTTAATTTTTTCTAAAATTCTCTGTACCATACCATAGCTATACTTACAAGTATATACAGACTTATAGTATATTTTAATTTAAATTTTTTCATCATCAATAAAGATAGAGAATATGTCCAGAAACAATTAGATTGTCTTTAGCTCTAATAAAGTATTATTATAAAGTAAATAATACAATGTCACAAATAATAGTAAAAATAAATTTTTCAAAGTGGCACTTTAGATATTGCACTCAACAAACATTTTATTTTATTTATATAAATGAAATTCAAGAGATGAATGATGATGAAATGAACCTTAGTGATGCAAGAAATGCTGCTCAATGTGGTTCTCTATCAAAAGGTGTAAAACCTGAAAATGATGAATATGTTCAACAGCCAACCATAATAGATCTGTAATCAACTATAGTGCTTCTACAAGGGCCGTTCATTAAGTAATGCACATAATTTTATTTCTCGGCTGTCTTTCATTGGAATTGAATGAAACTTTGCATAATGTATTTTTAACAATTGTTGTGTAATGTCCTGAAATATCACCATACCAAATTTGCCAGCATTTGGACTGCTAAATATCTCTCTAGACAATATTAAATATAAGTAGAATGCCTACCTTATTACCAGCAAAAATTTTTAATATACTTTCGGTATAATTTCAGATTCTTTGTTTTGAATACATTAAAGACTTACTTCTTTAATGTACAATAAATAATAATAATCTTAAAAATTAAGTTTAGTTTTTACTTTTTCCTGTTTAAAAATAATGAAAAATCCACATTATTACATAAAAAGAATTTACACTTTTGATACAAGAACAATAAAATTATCTACAGTATTCATTATACATGACATTACAAAATTATCAATATTTTATCTCAACAGGAGAAATCAAATATGATGGTGATTTTTATTTTAGAAGCTTGATATTACTTTAAAATATTATTTTGTTAAGTACAGGAATCACTCATATAACACAGCAGATATGTTCTAAAAAAGTGCCATGTTATGCAAATCCATGCTATATGAGACAAAGAACTAGTGCAAAACATAGGGTTACATTCTAGAAATTAACAAAAGTATACTATTCTTTTTAGTAAGAGAAACACTTTAATAAAGCAACCAATACTTTATTTCTAATCAACAATTAACTAACAAGCACAATTACAAGTACTGTTACTATTAATTTTAGTTAAACAAGGAAATTTTCTTTCAAAATGTATTGTTATCATTAAGCTTTTTTGTTGATTTTGATCAGAAATATCAGCAATGTCTTTATTTCTACCCATAAAAATTTTTATATGTATGACAAAATAAAATATGTTATTAACTGATAATTTGTTCTAATGGGTTGCGTTTGTTCAGTTGAGTACCAAGTGATTTTTCTCCAGAATGTGCTCAAATACTGAATTGTTCCAGTTGGGAACAGTTTGAGTACAGAGATACCACTGTATTTTGTTCATCATTTTTATGAATGATTAAAATGAACCTATGGTTAAAAAAAAAAAAAAATTACTAACACTTATCTAAACATGTTTAAACTTTACTAAATACAAAGGTTAATCGGTTAATGTTTCCTATGGTAGTGAAATATGGCAGTGCTTCGGTCAGGTTCGTTTCATTTCCATTAGATTAACTACATTTTTAGTAGACATTTCCTTTTTTATTTATTTTGTTCAAGAACTACCATGAATCGATAACTAGTGACGTTTGGCACTCGGCGGCCTGTCGACGGCTCCCTTCCAGGAGGACTCTGTCTGGACCACGAACAGTCTGAAGCACCGCCATATTTTGCTACCATAGGTAACGTTAACCAGTTAATCTATTGTTGTACATGCACATGGTGAAAAAAGAATCTAACAAAGTGAAATTCTTAAATTTTTCACCAGTATTCGATAACTGTACAGTACGAACGTTACAATAAAATTTGGGAGTGCTTCAAATATGACGTTAAAATGGTTTTATGTTGTTACAAGTGGGCTTTTTTTTAACATTATCTAGTATAGTAAAATCGTAGGACCGATAAAAATTTGATATTATATTAGGGTTGTCGTTACATTTGATGACATTATAATCGGGTTAAACTGTATATTGTTTGCGCAAAATAAAAAAATAATTTCAGACGATACAATAGCCATGATTATTTTTTTCAAAAATGGGAACTTTTCGTTACACATTGACAAAAATTCAACCTGGGCCGACACGCAACAGAGAGAAATTTTGAAATTAGGTAAGTTAATTTCATCAAAGATGCATTGTGGTCAATCTCGTGGTTGTAGCCAGCAAAGTTTGAATGATCGCACCCAAAAGCAGTGATATCAAAGATGATTAAGAGAATGAGAACGAGACCTGCCTTGAGCATCAAAGTGATTCCGTCTTGACATAGTCTTGTCCCAAATACAGTTTTGCCATTTTACTTGTTTTTTTTCTTGTTCCATTTGAGTTATTCCTTCAACTTACCAACACCTCCAAATAGCAATATTGATTTTATAACCACCAGGTATATAAAATAAATAAGTACAAATAATACAAGCAATTATTTATTGTGACATCTTCACAATGCCAGATTGCAATTTTTAATCATATTTTTAATTTATTTAATTTAAAATATATGCTTTACACCTCAAAGTAGTGGCTTGCCCCTGTACATCATACTTTTCCTTTAACAACAAAGTCACGCCAGTCCATCTACCACTTTTCAGGGGAAATTTTTGATTTGAAACAAATTCTGGTTTGCATCGGAAGTTCTTATATAGTTAATCGGTGCCTCCTGAACCTAAGGTTTCTATATCTGGTCTTGACTTTCATCTATCTAACACTGTTCTCAAGATCAAGGAATGATAGATGAGAATGGGAATTTATAGGTCTATAATTTTTTCAAATTGCAGCTCAATAAAAAAAAATATTTACTGTATTTGTTATTTTCAATTAAATAAATGTAAAATTTGAGATTAGGAGTTTACAAATTTCCATAAATAACCTTCTAGACATGCAATACTGTAGCCTTATGTTTAAAATTAATCATTGTACCTTGCTTAGTAGCCTTATAGATATCAAGGTTTTGAAGATACTTGAAGTGTGTAGAAGCAGAAGTATGGTGGAACAGTCATGCATTATGAAAAAATATCCAGATGTTATACGCAAAAGCTGCAAGAGCCATAATTCTTCTAATTCAAATACCAAACACACTGGATTTTTTTTTAGTTAAATATAAAATTTATTTCAGTCAGTACAACTACTTTAGAACTATCCTATATGTATACTACATTATAATTGATGTACATTTTGAGACACAAAGACTTAAAAATAATTTAAAAATTTACATCTATAGATAAAATAGTCTATTAAGATGATTCTCTTCTATCATTAACAATTTTTCTAATATTTAATATTATATATTTAAGCATGATAAAAGAATGCTTTCAAAGGTTATTCTGAATCTCACTATCCCAACTTTCATCCAATCCTCACTTCCAGAACTTATTAATTTTGATATAACCTTAGCATTGGGTTTAAGATGCCTATATTTATTGTATCAAATATTTTCTGACTCTTCTAGTTGTTTGTAATTCAACAAAAATCATTTTCATTCCACTATTAAATTTAATGTGATATTTATATAACTCGTCAGAGACTGCATTTCTTAACTAAATACACTCAAACAAACCTTTACATATGCAGCCGTAATTTAATAGATAAATTCAAACGTTTTTGACCATATTCAATGGCCTTTATCAAGAAAAACTGAAAAATCGAACTTCGAATTAAAAATTTGCATTACCGATACAAGCGTTATTTTTGGAACATTTTTAAAAAGATATTCTATCGTGTAAGCACCATCTCTACATATTGGCTATAAATAGTTAAAACAATACCAGTAAATACATTAAAACACAATAAAGTGTTAAAATAATGCCCGTAAATACATTAAAATACAATAAAGTGCACATAGAAACAAGATTTTCTAGATATTTATATTTTTTCTTTATTGGATTGAAATTAAATAATGCTCAACATAACATGAAAATAAAGAATAATTCAATTCATTAATCATCCAACGGCAGCCAAATTAATTTATTGAGTAATTGATCTATAAGCATTACATTCAATAACTCTGCACAATACAAAAATCTCCAGATGTACAGTACAGTAATTTAAGTATCATTTAAACTAATACACTGTAAAAATAGTGTATCAGTTTAAGTTCCATAACATGCTGTGTGCAGTACATATTGAATGTATAATGCTAACATTTATGGTTAACCATCTCATTTGGAGCTTGAATTGAGCCTTATTTTTACCATAAGTTAAATATACTTAACTGTTGCTTTTGCTTGTACATGGATAATCAGTTCAAAGTTTATGATGTTAAACTTCGAATTGATTATATTGTTTGTATGAAGTTACAGTATGTCAAAATATATGTCCCTTTATAATTACAAATAAAACAACATTCTTTGCTCTATATTTTGTGAGTTGGAATACAAAACTTATATTAAACCAAAAATGATTTATAAAAAGGATGACAAAAATAAACAAATCAAATAATTAAGAACTTTGTGAAAGTGAAAAAATATAAAATTTTAATAATTTAAAATTATAGCATAAATTTTTTTAATAATTGCATTAAATATTAAACTTATTCATTAGTATTTTTAAGAGTTATGTAATTAATAATAAAATAAGAAGATAACCTGCAAGTTCTCCTTATTTTGTTCAAATGTTCGTTCCTCATTATTAATTTTGATTGGTGCTGTATAGTTTTCCATTTTATATAATTGTTAAAATTCCNTAATGTAAAAAATTTTTGACAAAATTTATATTTACCACTATTTAAATTTTGGTGTTACATAGCATTATGTTTGTGTTCCAACTTTTAAAAAAATAATATTTTGAAAAGTTGTTCTGAGCATTCCAATTGGAATGTAATTTAAAGACCTGAGGCAGATCTTGAATAATGTTGAAAACATTTGTAAAAAATTTTTTACACTAAAAAATTTTGTTATTGGACTTTAAAGGTTATTTAAAGTGTGTTTTTGATGTCAGTTTTAATATATTATATATTAAATTAAATATCATCAAATGATATATTTGTAAAAATTTGTAATATTAAATATTCATAATATATATATATATTTTTTTCTTTTTAGTCATTTCAAATTTTAATGAAGAAGGAAAATGTCATCTCAGATTGACTGTTGGTGATACTGTTTATATGTTTGAAGAGTATGAAGGTAAACTTTGAATCCATAATTTTTTCTAAAGTTATTTTTTATAACTGTATTTATTTACTGATAAGAGCCTATTTTATTTCATATATTTTTTTTTATTGTACTTAAATACTGAGTTATTTCAGAAAAATCTGTTTTAGTTTTAATATAAATTACTCAATTTTAAATAGAATAAATAATCCAAAAGGCAAATGCTTGAAATATAGATTTGATATAACTCTTTCAGCCATCTGACTGTACAAACATGGTATTATAAGATTTAGAAGTATGTAGGGATTTAGAAGAGTTTATGAAAATCTGAACTTTTAAAGTTGAGCTGAAAAGTCTTGAAAAATGTTTCATTTATGCATACTTCTAATTTCAGTAATTATTCAAGGGTTTGTTTTTTGGATATTAAGTAGTTATTTCAGTATATTATAGTTAGTGTGTTTGTATGTAATATATGTCCCAAAAGTATGATACAATCTTACAATCTTTTGTGACAACTTAATAACAAATTACATTTAAAAATTAAATAGCCATTCAGTTTGCAGAGAAATTTTTTTCTACTTAATTATAATTTTTTCATGTTATTTATACTCTCCCCTGTAGATAAGGTGAATTTCACACAGTCTAAGCTATTTTTCTAAATAGTTGCCATTCTTTTCTGAAAAAATTCTCTATGTAATGATTTGAACAAATCCATGATTAAATGTTTGACTCATCAACATCTGAAAAGTGTAAGCCACTAATGTGTTTCTTAAGAGATCAAAAAAGATAAAAATTAGAGAATGCTAAGTCCTGACTGTACTCACAATGATAGGCCTGCTGTACAATAATGCAACCTCACATTGCATGTCATACTTCAGACTGGCTAAAAAAGTATGGATGGGAAGTATTGCACCATCTTTTACATAGTCTGAACTTAACATCCTCTAATTTTTATTTTTTTGGATCTCTTAAGAAACATCTTAGTGGCTTACACTTCACAGATGAAGATGAAATTAAAGATGTAACCATGAACTTGTTTAAATCATTACATGGAAAACTTTTTCAGAAAGGAATTATTGCCCTTGTCTCTTGCCATAAAGTGTTTAGAAAAGAATAGCAACTATTTAGAAAAATAACTTACAAATGGCTATTTAATTTTTTAATGTAATATAATGTAATTTATAATTTTAAGTTATCACAAAAGATTGTATTTCCATGGGACATGCTTCATATATAGGTGATGTTTAGGTGTATACATAGGTTAGTTTAAAATATTAAACATGGAAACATTATAAATTTCTTCAGATTATGAATGCATAAATCTAATATGTAATGATTTGTAATGTATTTTATAATGATTGTTATATATATTCCAAAATAACAAATATCTAGATGCCATGATAATATGACTTTTTTATTCCAAGATATAGACTGCAATTAAGAATTAAATCAATTGTTCTTAGAAATGAAATGTAAAAAAAATATACATATATATATTTAAATTGAATATTTAGTTAAATTGACATTAAACTATTTATCATATTGCTATATTAATCATGAAAACCAGATTCTACTTATATTACAATCTCAAAGGATAATTCAACAGTTATAATTTAATATGATGATAAAAATCAGATCTTGATTGAATATTCAATTATTATNATTTAAATCGATTCGAACATTTGGTTAAAAAATCAAAAATATATAAAAATATTTATAACAATATCTGAAATGTTATTAATTTAATACACTTAAGTACTCAATGAAGACTAAACGTAGTTGAAAACAAAAAATCGCATCTAAAATAGTACAGTAGAAGCCGTTTTTCCGGTTAAGCCTTAATCCTTTCCCCCCGCGAGGGAATTTCGAAAAATCCCTTCTTAGTGTGCATTGCCATGGCATACCCTACTAAAAGTCAGATAATAACAAAATATCGCAACTAAAATAGCACAGTAGAAGCCGTTTTTCCCGGTTAAGCCTTAATCCTCTCCCTCTCCCACCCGCGAGGGAATTTCGAAAATTCCCTTCTTAGTGTGCGTTTTCATGAAGTACCCTAACTGTGTACCAAATTTCACCTCTAGGTTCAGCGGTTTGCTCTGGGCGATGATGAATCAGTGAGTGAGTCAGTCAGTCAGGACAAGCAATTTTATATATTTAGATTTTTACAAAAACAAAACAAAAAAAAAATTACTATACGCAAACATTTGAATGTTAGCTTCTATTCTGTAAAAAATTTGATTAATTTCTTTGAACCATTAGTAACTATTTATTAATAGAATGTCTGGTTTTAAGTTTCGATTACTGAAATTATCAAGAAGGATTTTCAATTATTTCTGTAATAATCTGTAAACCTTCAATATTTTTCAATAATCTACGTAATTGCTTCAAAGCAAAATTATCACACACAAATGAATCATTCGAGTTCTTCGCACTGAAGTCCTATTTACAAAATTAGTAGGGCGACGTTATTGATACATTAATAACAAACATATGTGAAAGATTTTTTTTTATACGAAGAACCTATTTATTATTGTGACACCTCTACGTACTGTACAGTATATACTGTATTACAAATGTACTATACTTTCATATCTATAAAGCAAATAAAGCTAAGATTACGAAATCAGTATATATGGCATAAGCAGCAGTGTATTCCGCCTACTCTTTGAATGGACCTTTAATGAATATTGTATGTAGTAAGCCTACGGAAGGGCAGTATCAAGGACGTTTGGCAGAATGCCAATATATCGGTTCGAGATTACCGCTATTGCAAAATGGCGTTTAGTTAGGTGGCAGGAAGTACTTGCTAAGTTTGCTTTTTGATTTTATTTCTGTTTAAATTAAATAATTCAGAAAAACAATGACAAAGTGGAAACCATTACCCGATAGAGCGAAGTATGGAGTGGGTAAGTCATTAATATGTACTGTATGAAAAATAGTTTTATATTCGATTTGTGGAAAGTGATGTTAAGAGCTTAAAAGAAGTTTGTTTCGTGTCGTTTCATTGGATAATGTAAATTTTCACAGCCATTCACGTTTCACGTAAAATTAAAGCCGCATATTACGATTCAACCATAATGTAACTTATAAAAAAATTGAATAAAAAGTTCAATATAAAAGAAATAGTTTTATGTTGACATTCTTCAGAATGATATTTTAAATTTATGACTATTAAATGTCATGATTAATACTTATAAATATATATACAGGTATACATACATATACATATAACTTTGTAATTAACTTGACAAATAATATATACAGTATTTACATGTTTATTTCACCTATAATAATATATACCACAGTTTACTTTACAAATAATAATACTTCACTTTTAATATGTGTTAGAAGATTTATAGTTTTATTCTACTAATAATTTAATCCAGATTAATAACAAATTACATACTTTACATACTCTTATGGTTATGAAAAACATGTAGACATTGGCTGCGTTCAGCAGACTCAACAGTTCCGGAGCTGTTGAGTATTTTTCTGTTGAACGCCCTCTACGGTAGTTCTCTTTCGGAACACGTTTGGTGTTTTGACGTCACATTTGGTAGCGTCTTTCATTACACTACCTATCGCTACCCAAAACTGACCAATGAGGCTTTTTGTTCTGATGCAATGTCACTCATCGTTTGGCAGATCCGGGTTGCTACCGATTTGCTCAGTTACAACTGTTTAAGGTCCATTTATGCACAACAGTGATGTGCCAGCACAGTGCAGTGAATTTTTGCCTATGGGAAATTGTTGACCTAGTTTTAAACCACCCTGTTCAGACTCGTCTGTGACAGTGCTGTGCAGTGGCAGTGGCGTGACTGTACTGTGAAAGTAGATTTGATGGGAATGATATTTTCACTGATGGTAAATTTTGTTTTCCAATGGATGATGAACATTTAATTGAAATGTGCATCAACACACTGTTCTATTTGACTTATCTCATTCAAAATACATTGACATTGGATACAAAATGAATATTTTCTCTGTTTTGTTTAATAAAATATGAAATATATGTTGGGACATTTGAAAATATTCAAAAAATATAGATTTGTCATCACAATTTTTTACAAAGAGTATGAAACTCCAATTCTGTTGATATTTTTTGTCCATGCTTGATGTATCCACTTGCAGCATTTTCTTGATTGCATTTCTTTTTCTTCTTTATCCAAACATATAGCTATCATAGCCAATTCATCCTCAGAAAAGTTCA